TTTAAATCTTTCATTCACCGGATCATCGGATCCTTCTACTAATCCTAAACTCTTAGATTATCTACGCCAAAACATTTTAGCCATAGGTTAAAGAGAGTTCTTTTCTTTTACAAAAAAGTAATAAGATATTTGTTTTACTTTTAAATGAGAATAATTCCCAAGTCGTTATAAAGCGTGATTTGTTTTGTATTTTATCAAGCCAATGATAGTCTTTAATCTTGCATGTCATATTCAATGTTTACTAGGATGCGACATGAGGTCAATTATATGTAGGGATCCCGAGCGCGTAGACCCGGGCTAAGTCCCAAAATAGCACCAACTATTGCATGGCTTCGGTATTACGACCTATACCGACCAATGAGGGAGGTAATGACGCAGACACCTCTCAATGTTATTGAGTTGCGCTTTGTTCGAAAACAAAAAGAACTGAGAGAGAGTAAACGAGATACGATAAACGGAATCTCGCAAGTCTAACTGACAAGATTCGCGTATTGTATTCGGTATTCAGACGCACGCCTGGAAGGAACTGCGATGTGGCACAAGGTTGTGTTTAATGTTAATTTATCGGCAGCACTATGAAAACTTATCGAGACCCCCTCAGTACTTCCCCATTTTTTGGGACATCTTCAGGAACCGTACAATAAGAGAGGGTTACTGCCTGAGACATGAGCAAATATTATTGTCATTGGGGCGAACTCCTCTCCCGGCCACCAAAATACAATACTTGAGTAATATCATTTTCCTTACTGTCTGGGCTCTTATAGAGTCTCTATGCCGTAGCTTTGCTAATTAGGCAGCCCTATACGTATCACTACACGTTTACGTTGAAATTTTAAAAAATAAACAAATCACTTCCATCAATTTCTCCCATGACAAACCACAATGAATCATATTTCCCACCAACAAAAATATAGGTCCCAATTGATCTATTAGGTTGGCATGACAAAATAAAAAAAAATGATTATCCCAAGGGACTGGGCGGAATTTCTGACGGCTTTTCTAAATCAGGCATAACAACGGTTCTCTCGAGAACAAATTAGCCTTGTGACTTTTACCATTTACGTGTAAAATTGAAAGACACCAGCAAATCACTCGTGAAGGCGTTGATACGGAGAAGAATCCGATATTAGATACATCGTTGTTCACTCTGCTGAACTAAGATTTTCGAATTTCCTTCGCATTTTAGCATTAAATAAAAGCAGATTTCGACATGAAATAACCTAACAGAATTTGTTTTTTGTTGTATGATCCACCACCCTTTCTCCACATTGAATCTACCCTTAAGAGTAAAACCGGTCTTCGTCCTTACATACACCCTTGTGCAAATTAATTGAAACAAAACGAATAACTCTGTAATTATTTCATTTTTTGTATTCTTCCAATGAAATATAACCCAGTGCATATTTTATTACTTCGTATGTCCATTCCACGAAGTCTTTCCTTGCGGATTGACCAACGTTTCTCGACTAGTACTTTTATTTTCTCACTGGTAAGGCGTGTCATTGTGCTCGTGCAGAGTTATAATTTTTGTACCCTTCTTTGGAGTAACGTCGATCCCAGACAATCGCTGTAGGACAACTAATCGACAGTCAAGACAATAGTTTTTAGCCGTTTCTCGACTAGTACTTTTATTTTCTCACTGGTAAAGCGTGCCATTGTGCTCGTGCAGAGTTATAATTTTTGTACCCTTCCTTGGAGTAACGTCGATCCCAGACAATCGCTGTAGGACAACTAATCGACAGTCAAGACAATAGTTTTTAGCCGTGATGAAAATCTGATGCAATCACGGTTGACGCAATATCTTCCAAGGCCAAACAAATTTCATCATACACCCCGAAAATAGATTCATATTACACCGCCCCAAATAACTTCATCTGAGGAAAAAAATAGAAATTAATTACACTCTGTCACTCCAGTGGATCTAAAACTGACCGTATGGTGAAAGAAAGAAACTAAAGCGGTTGTTTCAATTAATTTGCACAAGGGTGTATATTACCAGTTATGCAAAGATGTTATAAATGTTAGCGGTTTTCTCTCATATTTTCGATTTCCTGGATTCAGTGATTCCTTTTTTCTTAAGGATTACACCGGAAATATGCTGAAGAATTGATCGGCCAGAGGTATTCCGACTTGAAGGGAACACTGCGAATCAGTGTAATTTCTCATGTTTACCATGGCTGCTAGTTTAAGAGTATACCCTTCTATATGGTTTGTTATTCAACTATACGAAACTGGTCATAATTACATTTCAGGCATGTGCCCCGCACGAGAATTTTGAGAATTCAGAGTTCTTCCCCTTTTTTAGCAAACCGCATCCATTAAAACCTGCTATTTAACCAACAGCTGGGGAGAGATGAGATGAATGCCTAACTTTTCTAAGGTTATTTGTAAGAAAATAAATGTAACAATCTCGAAGAGAAATCAAACTCGATCCTTCCAAGCCTCTAACCAATTCAAAACCTGAGCATCTCCCCTGTGACAACCCACATAAAAAAGAAATTTGGTCATCCTAACCTCATTGTATATATAAGAAAGAGATTATTTGAAGAAGAAAAATTAATTGCTTTAAAATAAGAAGAAAATACACAAAATCATGTTTACTTGCAAGACAACATCGGGTATTGTGAAGTGTTGCTCAAGTTGTTCGTAGATCTCTTTAACCGTTAATGACTTGGGAGTTTTAAATTTTGCCTTATTACACTTGCTTTGCCTTGCATATACTGTTTGCTTGCTATATATTATTATCCTATTAATTTTTTTCATTCTCGTATTGTTTATTGTCAACTCTCTTTGTTGCGAATTTCTGCCAATCACATTTAACCATGGTCAATTACTCTTCCTTAATAAGGTTAACGGAAAAGAAGTCAGGTGTAACTATGCAGACATTTTTTTTCTGATATGTGTCCACAAAATTTCAATTCTCGTTCTAATTTTATTCATAATTTTCCTTTTTCTTTCCTTTTTCTTTTTAAAATTTTTAATTACTTATATTTTCCGTTCCCGCTATTCTCAGCATCCTTCTGTAGAACCACATCACTGTTTTCCCTTTATTTGTGAGGAAATTGTCAAACATTCACGATCATGAAGAAGGTTTGATATTTTATAGTCTATAACTCTTTTCTTTAATGAAATTTTTCATTATCTTAATACAGTTTTTGTTTTTTTTTTGTTTTTTTTAAAGACATTTTTCATATCTGTCTATATTTCTACGATGAGGTATTGTAATTATCTACATTATTTACATTGTGAATATGAATATTTACGTCGTGAACATGACAATAAAGACGAGGACAACAGGCTGAACAATGTAAATAATGAAAATAATTATAATACCTCATCTAGGATGTATCACCAGATAATGAAGAAGGCTAAAGAGTACAACGGCCGAAACTTCATGAACATGGCAATAAGCATGAGGGCGACAGTCCGAAAAATATAAATAATGTAAGTAATTATAATACCTCATCTAAGATGTATCGACAGATCCTAAAGAAGTCCGGAGAATTTAACGACCGAAACGTCGTGAACATGGCAATAAAGATGGGGATAACAGTCTGAACAATGTAAATAATGTACATAATTATAATATCTCGTCGAGGATGTATCAAGAGATAATGAAGAAGGCCGGAGAGTACAACGGCTGAAATGTCGTGAACATGGTAATGAAGATGGGGACAACAGTTCGAACAATGTAAATAACACCTTTTCATATTCTATAATGCCTTTTATTTTCGGTATCAAATAGAAATTGTCTACTAATTCAGCACTCTTTTTTGAAGACTCATATTTGATATGAACAAACAGCGTCCTCAAAAATTGAATTTTCTTTCAACGAATTCTACTTTATCGAGATTGAACGTGAATCACGTTAGTCATACGATTGCTATATATATATATATATATATATATATATATATATATATATATATATATATATATAACAATAAAAAATATTAAAAATTAAAATCTTCAGATACACTGGGTTGTATAGTAATATTCTTTCGTTTTTATCATTATTTCAGTTAGATTCCTCGACTAGTTTCGGCCAACATGTCCATCATCAGGAGAAAAAGAAATTCTGGTAGCAGTGAACTACAGAAATGAATGTCTTGATGGAGAAAATGAACTTTTGTCTGTAGTTTTCATTTGTTTCTTTTTTAAATTTTTTTAACAGGAATTTTTGGTCAGTCCTTGTGTTGGTCAAACAGTCACTTTTAAGCTGTTATTTAAGATAAGAGCTGGATGGATTCACGCTGCTCTGAATTCCCATGATCATTTTGCCAGTTTTCTTGGTTCCTGGAAAGGAGATGTGTCTCTGTTAAATGTGTGTGTTATTTGGTCCTTAGGGAGTGAGAGAGTATGATGTGTGTAAGCGTGTATATTACTATGGGTGTGTGTTATCATTTGGCTCATTAGGGAGGAAGTTAGTATGATGTAAGTGCATATATTCGTGTTGGTGTGTGCATATGTGTGAGGCCTCAAATATCGATTTCCCAAATATTAAAACTACTTGTCTGATTTTGAAGTATCCATTTCTCTCTGACAACCAAACATCCTGCATTCTTTTAATATATATTTAGTCTTTTCTTACTGTTTTCGTATACTACGTTTTCTAGGATTTCTTCCAGTTGTGTTTCTATATCTGCAATAAATATGGCGTCAACTGTGTTGATAAGATTCAGCTTACCGATATAAAATCATTAGGATAGTCGCGTTGTTTGCAAAGGTTAACATCAACAGAATTCACTCTGTAATTACATTTTTGATTTAGTGGCCACATTAAGTAGCTCAAGACTTGTAATCACGACTGCTTTGTTGACAGGTGAGATGGCAAATGTTAAATTCAATCTTTTGAGTAGAGCCAAGCTAATCATCTAAACTGTAGAAAGCCGTTCAGTAAGTGCTTTTGTTCAGGTTGTCGAATAATCAGATTGGGAATTGTGACATGACGCTGTAGATTCAATAACAATTCCACTGTAATTAAACCGCGCTGAAGTCTTATGACTTTCCAGGCGCAAAAAGACCTGATCATCTCTTTCTTTCTGTCTCAAATCATCAGAACAATTAAAACTTAACGGCCTTCTTGCATCAGTACTTGGCGTTTAGTCAAGTTCAACCGATGTGATATTCTGTTGTAGTTCTATTGGTCGAACGCCAAAGAATTCTGTTTGTGAGACCAACATTAAACTTTGGAATCTTTCGAACTTTTGTGCTACAAGAAGAGACATATCAGAATTAGGCACGCTGGACGACTGATCATTCTTTACTCTATTGTAACTTCGGTTTATTCTTGAAGTTTTAACTCTCCGACTCGAGTCAAGCAACATACGTCTTGATCAACCACTACAAAAGTTGGACAACTGAATCGTGTTAGATAATTTTTAATCTATCTTACATATCAATAAGTCTACCATTCGGCTATTCTACCATTTTAGAATAGTGCTGCCACATATGTTTCGATGGTCCTTCAATGTATTTAAAGATTCTTGGTAAAATTCAAAGAAGAATCTGCAATATTATTGATCCTGACCTGGTATCTGTGCTTCAGTCACTTTCTTACCGCCGTAATGTAGTTTCCCTCCGCCTTTTCTGTACATACTTTCATGGTAATTGTTCGCATGAACTCTTCGCTACGGTACATAGATTTTATAAATTCAAACGTGGTAGCAACTAGGTTTTACCAGTGTAGATGTAACCGCAAGTTCTATGCTGTATCTTTCCTCGCTCTTCTCGCTTGTGAAACTCTCTTCTCGCTCCATGCTTTCCAATCAAATTTGATCTTCAAAAATTCAAATTCATTTTTAATAGTTATGTAATGTTTTCCGGATTACTCTTCTAATGGACTCTCCCATTCATAATGTTTTCTAACTGTTTCACTTCCACTAATCCCTTGTGCCGTAGTGGCTTCACTGTTAGGAATAAATTCGATTAAAAATGCATTGGTAATATTAACAGTAATGGCGTCTACACAATCAATGTAAGAAAAAAAAAGAGATTTGGAAACCGTAACCAACCCAAAATTTCTGATATTAAATAGCAAAACGTTAAATTTGTAAAAAGTCTTACTAATGTTTCCTTATTTATCTTTAGCACACAGACACACACACGCCTATATATATATATATATATATATATATATATATATATATATATATATATATATATATATAGAGAGAGAGAGAGAGAGAGAGTGATATTAACTAAGGTGCATTTTAGCAGAAATAATCCTTTCAAACATGGTTGAATAATATCGATAAGTTCTGTCTACCAATTTTTTAAATACTTTAATAAATTGAAACATGTTAAATAAAAATCTGTTTCCTACTTGTTCTTGATCCTGTCATTTTGTTGGAGTCCTATCCATACTCGATCTATATTTTGTCTGAACATGAAAACCATAGAAAAAAAACAAACAAAAAAAACAAAAAAAAAACATTATATTTCTACCTACAAAATCTTCTTACCGAAAAAAGACTTTCCTTTAAAATATTGCATAATACAAATGATATCTTCCGCCAAACACATCCAGGACTACCTTCTCACATGCGCAGAAGATCTCAAATACAACGAAATAGTCACCAAGAAACAAACAACATCAACAGGAAAAATACTACGTTTTAAAAACCTCTTCTCAATTTCCGAACCCGAAATATTACGACGAACAATATCTCACAAAAAACAAAACCGATTAAAATTAAAATTCTACAACCTATGCACAAACAGTAAATAGAAGATGATTGGTAACCCAAATCTTGTTCACAATATCTCTACATTCACACTTTCTACCTCTGAAATGGGAGATTTAAATTTGGGTTTAAAATTCGCCACCTTTCTAAAAATGATTACACAGTCACGACCTTAAGCAAGAAGCACAAATTCAACTACACTGATTATGAAAATGTTTCATTGATGGCATATTAGCAGCCTCCATCACAAAGACAACCGAGACTACATTACCTAGGCGATACATACAAGCACTAAAAACGTGTCCATGAAGAAAAATAATATATATATATATATATATATATATATATATATTTATATATATATATATATATATATATATATATATATATATATATATATATAGATAGATAGATAGATAGATAATGTGGAGAAATTTATCATTGATGCTGTTGGTTTAGTCATATCGACTTCGAAGTTTCGGGAGTGCATTCCAGTAATACTGTCACTCTTCAGGTCTGTTGTCTTCTCTGTCGCTACTTGTCAATTTTGTCGTATTTATCGATGGTTTGTTGTAATTTGATATATTTGGGTGTGTATGGGTGTGTAATTTTACAATTATTGGGTGTTGTGTTATCACTTAAGGAGTTTGAGGTTGCTTAGTGATTGCTTGCTTTGTATTGTGCTGACCTCTTTTTGACCGCATTTGTTTAATTGCTTATTACAGGATCGTTTCATTTGTTATACCGATTTGACCTCTTTTATCACGCTCTAATCTTTACCATTGGATATCGAGCACAAAAATAAGTACCTGCCTAAAATTATTTCCCAGCAGTAAACTAGAGAACATGTCGGTATTATTAAGTCAAACACACACACACATACACATACACATAAAAATACACACACACACAAACACACACAAACGCACACACATATACATACACATAAAAATACATACACACACACACACACACACACACACACATATATATATATATATATATATATAGATAGATAGATAGATAGATAGATAGATAGATAGATAGTTATCCATAAGTATAGTCAAATTCTCTCTCTCTCTATATATATATATATATATAAAAGAAATATAATGTAGTGGTTCCAACGAGAGAAAAGTATGTATATTAAAAAGAAGAGAAGAGAGGTGCCGCAAACGATTTTGGTTGTAATGTGGATTTGGAAGCCAGTTCAAGCAAGGATATACAAGTGATAGAAATTAGGAGGATTTCATGTAATTATAATTAATTCTGTCTGTCTCTTTCTCTTTTTCTCTCTCTTTTATATATATATATATATATATATATATATATATATAGAGAGAGAGAGAGAGAGAGAGACAGGCAGACAGATTGTAAGGAAAGAGAATCAGTAAATCTCTGCGAAATGCCTTAGTTATTAGGAAGACGATAGTGATTTTAGTTGAAGTCCATAAAATGAAAACAAAAAGAATAAAAAAAGAAAATTGCATAAAGAGGAATGGACTGTAATTAGAATGAATCCGGATTCGATTATTCATTTCCAAGGCAGGCAGAACGACAAAATATAAATCAATGTATTTCGAAATATTCAGCAGATTCGTTGAAGTCTAAGGCCATAACTTACGCCATTTAATGACTCAATATTGAAACTTAACTCTATCGTTCCATATTTATTACGATACCTTTTCGTTTTCCTTTCCATCTTCTCTCCCTGTGTTCACATTATACATCATTGTTTAGCCTATGTTCTTCATCTAACGATAAATTAAGCACCTCATCCAAAAATAATGCTTCTGTCATTCTAATTCTAACCAAGGCTCCCCTGTCTGCCAAAATCCAATCTTTATTGCGGTTGCCAAAATATTCATTGATAACCAGAACCGAGACGATGACTATTTCTGGCTTTTAGCCGCAGTCGATTTCTCCTTCATTAAACTTTCAAGAAGCCATGCGTTTATCTCAGTGTGCCAAGCCTTGAAATTTTATTATTTTCTATAATAATACATTGATGGGAAATGCTTGGGATCGAAAGTGTATTGGTTCTTTAATCGATCATTATCGATTCAAATTAAAACTTTGATTTAAGAAAAGGTGCTTATGTTTTCCCATGTCATAATCATAGATTTTACCAACTCGAAATTGAAAAGAAATGTCTGTATTTTAAATGTTACAAAGCTAGGTTATTTTATTAAATCTTAAAACAGCTCAAACGGTGGCAATCCAACGGCTGTGGACAGCAATATTATCATCATGAACGATAGAAGAAAAGAAAGAAACAATAACCGGTATTCAGACATCAAAAGACACAGATTCAAATTCATCAAAAGACACAGGCGAAATATTTGGTGGTACCGGTTGAACTAAGGTTATCGTGACCACGCCTGTTTTCAAAGAGTACCATTCCTAGAGAAAACCAAGAATAATGCTAGTACAGATAGTAATCGAAAGAGAGATTATTTTCTTAATCCGTGTATATTACAAACAAATAAAAGAGTACTGAATTGTTCCGTGATATGCGTCCTCCTATATGTTAGTGAATGCTGGGCAATCACCTCGAAGATTCAGATGTGGTTCTACAAAGAAATTGTCTTTTAATCACAATAAGTAAAGAAGAATAAATGGCAGTGAATGTTGGTCAAACTCCTCACAGATGAAGAGTGGACTTGAAATTACTGAAATACCGTTCTACAGAAGGATGCTGAGAATATTATCATCATTTGCCAACCTTAGTCTGGATCATCGAGACAATGCGAACTGTCCTTTCTTTATCTGTATATTATCTGCTCCGCCAGGGTAACATACAATTTTGAATTCAGATTTACTTCCTCCAATCTGTCCTATTTATCTATAGCTGGTTGGGGGGGGGATTCATATCTTTCTCAAGGGTATTCGCACGTAAGTGAATGTAATTGATCCGACTGGAATTCGAACTCGGCTCTCCGATTCCTCAATCTGAGCCGCTATCCATTACTCCAACCAAATAAAGGACTGAAATATACGAGAAAATAGAAACAAAACGTATACGTTTAATTGACATCAGCAAGAGACAGTTGGATGTTCTATGGCACATAATGGGGAAAGTGTGCATTGAAAATTTCATATTCACAGGACAAATTGAAGGCAAGAGGAATAGTGGATAAACATCTCCTACCCTGCGAGTTTCAGTAAATAAATGACGGAACAAATTTTAAGAGACATAACAAAAACACAAAATTTATTAAGAGCGACAAACGACATCAAATTGTGGACAACCATTATCGCCAAGGTCCTGAAGGGAAACAGCACACAGAAGAGGTAGAAAAAGAAGAACTCTCCAAAAGACACTGGTTATAGACCCTTCCGTGGTGATGGTTTAGAC